GAGAGAGCAGCAAAGATGATGTTGTGTAATTTCACTAATTATGATGGTGAAACATGGAGGCAGGGTCTACATTCTGTTCATCCATGTTCAAGCTCTGGTGACACAGATACATGGCTTCTGCTTCCAAGAAGGGCTAGGCCAGCTAAATGTAATAAAATGTACTGGTGCTGTGACTGAAACGTGGGTGCGGGAACGCAGGCACAAGGTGAAGAGCAAAATGGGATGGGGTGGTATGAGTCCGGAGGTGATGCTGGGTTGAGTCAAACCACGTGTAGGTTTCTGTTCAGTGAACAAGAAAAGAAAGCATGGTCCAAGATAAGGGACAAGGAAGAGGAAAAGATGGAGAAATGACTGGGAAGTACTTCCTATGGCTGTATCTTTGAGGCAATGCTGAGGTAGGGTGAATCTAAAAGAAACCAAGAGCGCTAGTGGGAGGTGCAGAGCCTTGTCACGGCTATATGAGATTGGCAACAGAGACACAGTGAAAGGTTTTCATCAGAAAATAATATGACTCAATTTGTGCCTTTATAAGCTCTCTAGGGCAGTAATAAGAAGAATACACTGAAGGAATGTGAGATGGTTGGTGACAAAATTAGGAAAAATACTGTAAGAACTCTGGTGAACAATGAGAAATATCTGAATGAAGGCAGTGAAAATGGAGATCATAAGATGGAGACCCCACTCCCAATGCCTATGAAATATTTAATTAGCAGATGGTGGATGTGAACCTTTCTACCTTCGTTCCTTCCTTTCAGATGAGAACTTAAAGTAGATGTCACGCAGACGTCAGAGATGAGGGGAAAGGGTCAGTCTAGGATGATAAGATGGGCCCCTGGCTTCTAGCTTGGTAACAGTAAGTTATTGAAAAATATGAGAAAAAATGGAGCTATGGGGATAAAGATGATCAATTTTTTGCATGAAATGGCAAATGTTACGCTTTTAGGGTTAATGGAACACCTACACGGAGGTGACATTTGGGTTCGGAGCCCAGCAAATGAACCTGAGCCAAGTATGAATATTCAGTGGTCGTAACAATGGTAGAAGATGCCAAGAAGTGTACACATTTTCCTAGTGAGAGCATGTGTAGTGAAAAAAGAAAAGGTCTAGAAATTGACTATTTGGTTAACTGACTGAACTTATTTAAATGAATTGCTGCCTGAAAAATGTAATGCATCATCATTTCTATACAATGCCTAATAATATAACCTTACAATGATCAGTAGTTTTTCTCATCTCTGTCCCATCAATTGTGGATATGGACACACATTTCTCCTGCCAAACCTTGGGAATGAGGAGAACTTGAGCATCTGAAACTGTAATTCTCTGAGAGGTAACTACAGGCTATGTGAACAAAGTAGAAGCAATAGATATTATCTGCCTGTACACACACTGAGGACTTGAACTGGGTGCTACATTAAAAAGAAAAGAAAAGAAAACACTGTGACTTTATTACTATCAAGCAGGTACAAAATAAGTCAGAAACTTTCACTATAAGAAACCTCAACAAAAGGAGAAAATTTGTTATGTTGTGTCCTATAGGGCACACTCCTTATCAATTTGATGCAATCACTGTCAAAAGTGCTTCTAATATTTTAGAAGACAAAAAATAAATTTTAAGCCTAAACTGCCCAATTAAAGGCATTTTCTTATAAAAATTTTTATAAAGTTAAATATGAACAAGTATGATTCGATACAAAAATGAACTAACATTAACTCAAGGGTTCTCACTTGAGGAGGGAGTGGTACTTAAACATAATTCCAGGGACCGGCCGAGTGGCGCATTGGTTAAGAGCTGCCTTGGGATGCCAGCTCTGAGCATCAGGGCCCCAGTTCGGCTCCCACATGGGGGCCAGTGACACTGCCCTCTACAGCTAAGATGCTGAACAACAGCTCGACCTGGAGCTGGGCTGCCGTGAGTCACCAGTGACAGCATAGGCTGCAGCCCCTGCTGCAGTGGGCTGCCATAAGCTACTGTGTATGGCCGGCAGCTGGTGTGAGCTGCCAAGAGCCACTGTGAGCAGCTGTCCAGTGGCCGGCAACCGATCTGCCCCACCTGGGAAGAGCGCAATGATACCAACATGGGCCAGTGAAGCAATGTCCTCCACAACTAGACTGAAGAACAAAAGGACAGCAACTTGTCTGTTCCTCTTCCCCCAATTCCCCAGCACTGTTCCCCTCCCCCAATTCCCCAATGAAATCTTTAAAAAAAAAAAAAAAAAATATATATATATATATATATATATATATATATATATATATAATAATTCCTCACTTAACATCATCGATAGGTTCTTGAAAGTGTGGTGAAATGTTTAAAGAAACCAATTTTACCATAGGCTAGTTGATATAAACAAGAGCTAAAAGTTCCTACTTAATCAATGTTATAACAAAACAACATTGAACAAGACAATGTTATTCAAGGACCTGCTGTACCTGGGTCCCTTCCCATAAGTAAGTACATCACAATCTAGGGTTGGTGAGGTTGGGTAATGAGTACTATTCCTAATGCTCCTCAGATGACTCTTGTCAATTTTGAACCCTTGTACTCAGTATACAGTCATTAGATGGGGAAGGAAGAAAAACTAGCCTGGTGTGGCAGAGAAGACCTTAGAAGTCATATTGCACATGTGATTGACTACCAGAAGCTCATGGAAAAGACCCAAAAAGTACTACTGAACTATGCATGCTACTGACCAAACATTCATTAAAATATATTATGTAAGTGTGGTTTTTGATTATCTATGGTAAAGAGAAAAGAACCCACAGAAAATCAACACATATGATAAAAGGGAAGGAAAAGTTGAAACTATATTACAAAATAATTATGGAACTGAGACTATATCAACTTCAAAAGAAAACATCAAGCGATATTTCAACAACTACTTTTAAAATTATAAAGGAATTCCTGGTGTCATATGTATGCAGGTTATATTAGCAATTTTCAGAAAGAATATTTGACAATATTTATCTGTAGATATTATTAATAATTTATGTAGTGCTAACAATTATTAAATGTAAGTATATGTATTTTAAAGCAATGAAAGTATTCAGACTTGTAAGAAACTTCTCAGATTATTAATTTAAACCACTGAGTATTCTTTTTGATGACTCTGTGGGTTCCTAGAGAAAAACTGATTATAACACCAAACAAATGCACCCATTCTCCATTCTTCTTTCCCAGTTCAGACAATAAACATTCTCTGACATTTGCAGCTTGGTTTTTAGCAGCAGACAACACAACCATTGCTCAGTATAAACCCAGAGGTCAGGGGAAAAAAAACCAAAAAAACAAAATCAGCCTTTCATGGTACCTATAGAAGGATTGAAATGTATTCGCATTTCCATTTAGGAATTTTGTCCAACCTGTATTTGGTGTTCTGAGAACAGAACAGTCTTGGCATCAAACAGTCCCACTGCACTTTGTACCTTTCTTGGCACAACATTTCTCTCCTGGTGCCACAGTTTATGACATTATGTCTTTCCTGTTGTTGGAGCCTAGGGCCGGCCACCCCAAAATACCCCACAATGACCTATCGATTGCTTGGAATTGAAGTTACTTTACAAGCAGCTGATGCAAGGAGGGCACACTGGTCTCTCGTTATTTAAACGCAGGAAATAAATCTCCCCTGAGAAAGGTACCGTCCTTGCTCCAAGAGGCTGAGAGAAGTACCCTTATCCCTAGAGTTAAGGAATTCAGGGCCAAAAAGCTTGTCTAAACAAAGCTTGTTATTTTTTTTTTATTATTAATTCACTACCCAAGCCCAAACTTCGTATAGATTCTTCAGTAATGAGCACACAAACCTGTTTCTTTATTTTGCCAATTCTTCAAAATGTATTGCTTCTTTGCCTAAAAAGCATAAAAAGCTGGCTGGTTCATCATTTCTCAGAGCATCATTTATGATCTCCCGTGTGCATGTATTAAATTGCTTTTCTTCTGTTAACCTAACCTCATGTCAATTTTATTATTTGTCCAGCCATAAGAGCTCAAGAGATTACTCAAGAGGGGATGTTCCCCCCTCCCTGACACTACCCTCTGCTGTTATAATGTAACATAATATAATCAAAGTTCACCACTGGTTTTCCCAGTACTCAGTGACACCTGGACTTAGTGTTCTAAAATATTAATTTAATAAATAAATGGAAGACTAAATGAATACATAAATGAACCAAGCACCTCACTGGCATGTTACTGTGTCAGTTATCACACAATTCAAGTTAGTATATTTATTTTTCACCTGCTCACTCATTAATTCAGTTTTAACTGAAAACCTTCTATGTATTCAGCACTGTGCTGAATAATCAAAAGGAATAGACCCTATTCTCTAGCAGCTCAAAGCCTGGTGAGAAGTTCAACATAAGCAATTCTAGGGATTTAAATGCACAAACATAAATGTTGATAAATATGTTAGACACATCCCTTTGACTGAAAAATAAACACTAAACTAATAGTTAATGTGAAGTACTAATGCCACTAATAAGCATAGATTAAGAGCATTAGAAGGCTATTTACAAGAGTAATTCCAGGTATCTTATATTTGGCGACCACTAGGGTAACAGAAGTGCTACGTGGGACAATCTAGGAAGGGGATGGAGTTGCAGAATGATGGACTGATAACAGGTGGGGACATGGGCAGAAGAAAATTCTGAGCAAAGTAAGTAAGGCCTCAGGGAAAGCTTGAAGGAGGTATGGGTTACTTAGATTAAGGTGTTCTTGAGAACCTTGTCCACAAAAACAGCAGGGGGGACAGGCAATAAAATGAGAAGAAACCAAAGAAATGAGGTTATCTGAGGACACACACCTTAAAAAAATTTTTTAAATTTGGTTAATTTCCGGACTCATCTTTAGTGTGTTCTTAGATGCTCTTAAAAGTACACCATAGAAGGAGGACAAATGTACTCTTTAAGTCTACTCTAAGTCAGGCTGTTTCTCTTAATCCAGCAAGGAAAAGGGGAAAAGGCCCTCCTCTGAATGAACATATTAGAAACTGGGATATACATACTCATCCTTGTCCACTTTTTCTCGAAGCTTCTTTAGTTGTTTATTTTGGCTGAACTTCAAATTTTGAATTATGTTCTCAAAGTATTCATCTTCCTTGTAGTTCAACTATATTATATAAAACATTTGGAAAAAATATTAAAACCAGTATCTTCAAAACTTTTGCTAAAAACATAGGGGATAAGTTCTTAAATTCTATCAGTTAATAAAGTTAACAGAGATCATTAAAACTTACCAAAGAAGGATTTAGTTCACTAGTTGTATATTACGAGTTACTGCTGCTCTTTTGTAATTAATTAAATGGAACCAAGTGTCAGGCATGCCTTACTCTATTGATATTAATTCTTTTTTATTTTTAAATTTATTATTAGTTTCACATGTACAACACAGTGCAATAGTTATGCTTTTTACCCCTCAAAGTGACAACCCCCCTAATTCTTACATACCTGATGTGATAATAGCACATTCTTATTATGCCACTAATAAGCAGAGATTAAGAGCACCTACTAGGTGCCAGGCACTGTTCTAGGAACTTTACATATAGATTACACTCTTTTAATCCTTTTAATAATCTTATAAAGATGGGCTGTTATCACCATTTAAAAGTTGAGGAAACTGAGGCACAGACGAGTACGCTTGCCCAAGTTTCTGAGCGGTGGAGCTAGGATTTGAACCCACACAGTTTAGCTTTCAGTCTACAGTTTCCGACACTTGGGTCCTACCACAAGAGTCCCCATGATAACATGCTGCAGCCAGCTCATTCGAAAGGAATAGTCAAGCTTTTCTGCCAATGGAACAGGAGGAGGGGACCCTGTGGCTGTCTAACCCCCATTTAGACTGGTGATCAGTGGATTAGGAATCATGGTCAGCCTCGATCTGTGCAAGGATCATCTTGTTGTCACCAGGGTTTCAAGTAGTTGTGGTAACCCCAAGGTTAGTAATGGGACCCTCAGCTCATCTGAATATCAGTACTGTAGTGACTTTCATTTAAACTCTCTTCTCTTTTCATTGTTACGTAACAGAGGAGACTAAAATAGTCCCTGGTTCCCAAATATTAGACTTTTTGTTTGTTTGTTTTAAATAGAGAATGCATGACCTAGGTTATCCAGTGGAGGAATAATGAGAAAGTACTGCATTTCCCCATGTATAAGACGCTCCCATGTATAAGACGCACCTTAATTTTGGGGCCCAAAATTTGAAAAGAAACGTGTTACATAAAGTTACTGAAGCCACATTTTATTCATCATAAAATTCACTCAACTCCTCATCACTGTCAAAGTCCCCAACCATTAGCTTGTCCTCATCTGTGTCTGATGACGAATCACTGTCTTCATATATTGCCTCGTCCTCAGTTCCATCTGTAGCATTTGAAATCTACAACCACAGTATAAGATGCGCCCAGTTTTTAGACCCCAAATTTTTCGGGAAAAGGTGCGTCTTATACATGGGGGAACACGGTAGATGGAAACCTAAAGGTTTTACTTTTCAGCACTGCAGAGGCAGATGAGCCTGAGTACTGCCTGTTGTTCAGCACTTTGAAGTCTACCCTTGATACTCTTTAAAGGACACCACGTTTTTCTTACTGCTATTAAAATTGGATACATGGAAACAAAAGAACAAAAACCAAACACAGACGAGGAAAATAAAACAAAAGTCTAAAACTAAAACAAACACCGATCTGTCTTTAGTGCTAAAGGGCTTTTATAATAAAACCTATAGTTTCAGACTACATCACGAAATTCCTATTACCCCATAGCTAGAAAAGACATTGCACTAGCCCCAGTTTTTATAGAGACTTACCTCCTGGTATTCCTTATTCAGTTTGTTATCATCTGAAATAATGTCATCAGGATAGCCGATTCTTTCTTTAACTGCTAAGGCCTATGAAAATTACAATACTGAATGTGAGGATGATTATGTAACTTTCAAATGCAAACATTATAATTTGCTCATGACTATCAACTGAATAACTGAATCCATGCTGTTTACAAAAAGAGTACCTGACAACACTAAATAGAGATCTTTGCAGTGGCTTCTCTCTGGAGTTCAAAACCAACTGAAAAGCGGTCTGAAATTCAGCGTCTACTGCCCTATTCTCATGGGCTGCGGCTTTCCCAAGGAAACCGAAATGAAAGCTGACAAGTCTTGCTCCACATGTATTGTACTTCCATGACATTTTTCTCTGAAAGGCCTTTTTCTTCAGTTTACAGGAGGGGTAATATTTAGATCTTCCATTCTAGCAGCTTACAATGATCTTTCCACTTTACTGACTTGGCTGAGAAGACAGAGATGGACTTAGAGGTGCTAAAATTCTTCCCGAATATTGGTTCTTGGATTTTTATGTTTTCTTTTGGTTTCCAAAGCTGTGTATATATCTTCTCAAAGTTAAATGAATGACATCAATTAAATGAGTGGAAAACGAGAGTTTTCCTTGTCACCAGCTCATATTTCCTACTTGCTTACTGCCATTTCTAACTTTTGTTTATTTTAAAATTGTTTATTTTTATTATTTTATGATTATCACGTGTTTATTCCTTGCTCTTTCTATTTTTTTATTTCTCGTTTTTCTCAAAGATATTTGATTTTTTTATTCTATTATATCACATTGCTCTTTAAATTTAAATTTTTCATGGAAAATTAATCTTGTATCTCTGAGTTATTTGGTTTGCCACCAAATGGATGTGGTTTTGTTACACATCTGTTTTATAAGCCCAAGCTTTTGCCAGTGGATTGGACAGGATCTGTATCACTGTCAGGCCACGCCCATTTTCTTACAGGTTTCCATACCATTGGCTCATTACAAATCAGCTTCCTCTCATGGCACTTTATTTTCTAGAAGACGTTTCCCAAAGGAGAGTTCTAAGAGACACAAACTCTACTGAAATAAAAGCTACTCCATAGAACGATTGTCAAATACATTGGGTAAATGCTGTGACAAAAACATTAAGCAGGTTTCTTTATTGCTGGACTTCTTAGAGTCAAAATTAGGTTATTATAAGTGTCCAAGAGGAGGAATTAATTTGTATACTTATTCATTCAATATATGTTCAAGGGTCTACAATTTTCCAGGTACTTTGTAAGAAGCTGCCAGGCAAAAATTTCTGCCACCAGAGAGCTTATTGTAAAGGTCAATCAATGATAGGTAATGAAATGAGAATTAACTCTGAAGTGTGATGTGCAGTGCCATAAAATCACACTCTAGGACCATGTAACCCAGACTAGGGTGGGATCAGGAAAGCCTTCCTGTAGGAAGTGTTTCGTAAATTCTTTTGACCATGGGATTCTCTTTTGTGGAACATCTTGGCAGGTACAGTGTTTTGTGACACCACCTTGGGAAACGATGATCTAGAGCAATCCAACTGGCTAAATCAAACAGAACCATACCACGGATAGCTAGAACATGAAAGGAGCAAATCCAGCCTGAATTTCTGAGGACTTAGAGTGATGGAAAGGTAGCTATACTTGGGGGGTGGGGAGGTGGGGGGGAGGGGGCTAAATTCTAGACCTCACCCACCCAGGGCTCTGTGAGAGCTAAAAAAGATAGTCCTTTCACATGATTTAACCCTGAAACAGAACTAGACGGCAGCTTGATTCTCTTATTATAATAAGTTTTGAACTCCTTCTGTATCAGTTTAAGGAATAGTCTGTTCTTTCTGCAACCCTAGCTACAGAGGAATAATCAGCTGCATGTGAATGCTGCTCATAAAGCACGTACAGTTTTCCCTGCACATGTTGTTCCTCCTCATTTTATATAGTTATCAAGACAAATGATCATAGTAAATTTAAACCGAAGATTTCCTTTGAAATATCACCTTTATTCTTATGCACGATATTAACAGTTCCAATGGAAGGTGTACAATGGGGATAGATAGGAATGGTTATAAAGAAGGCTCCTTCAGCATTCTTCTAACTACAGCACCTTATAAAACTCAAATAACGTACCACCATACATTTGCTTGAACAGAAATACAGTATTTTTTTCTCCGTAGGTGATATAGAAAAAGCTAAATGGGATATGTTTTTAAAAAAATTTAGCTAGAAATTTGCATTAAAAACTGAGGGCATAGTTTTAGATATTGGTAGAGACCTTTCAGATATCTTTCATAAAAGGAGGAAAAATATGAACTACTGATAGTATCTTTTCATTCTTTCTTTGTTCACAGATTTTCCTCTTGTTTTCTGAAATCTTCCTTAAAAAAAAAGGAAAATCGAAGATGTTTCAAAATTTTAAACTCAATATGGAGAGTAGAAGCTGGTTGCAAAGAGATAAAAAGTGAAAATCATAGAAAAAAATTTCTTTCATTGAAAACTTTTACTGGAAACATCATATCTTGAAGGAGCTTGCTTTTATTTTATGTAATTCTTTATTATATTTTTTTCCAAAGTTTCTTAAAAGTTAATATTTCCTTATAAGGAAAATTTTCTTTGATAGCTAGTCCTGTCTTGCTTTTACCTTTTCTTCAGCTCTCTTTTTTGTTTCAGCATCCATCCAAGTGAGGTCATCTAAAGTCTGAACAAAAACTTCCCGGATCTGCGCAATCAAATCCTCAACCTCAAATCAAAAGAACAGAAGACAAATTTGGGCCATGAATTAATTTTTTTGTCACACAAGTTTTTAAAAACTAGAATCATAAGCTACCTTTATGTGACTCAATAATATGTTAATAAATGTAAATTTATAGACAAACTGTGATCTAACCAAATGGGTATTTGTGGATAGTTATATTTTTAAAGCAACATTGCTACTAACAACACTAATAATTAAATACTTCTTTTTTTTTTTTTTTTTAGCTGAGCCATCCCGCCACCTGTTGGCAGCTCACGGCTGCTCAGCTCGGGCTGACTCGAACCCCTGTTGCTCAGAGCTCAAACTCTTGAGCGAGCTCTTAACCAACTGAGCCACTCAGCCGGCCCTTAAATACTTCTTAATATGTAAATTTTAAAAATCATGTTTAGAATGTAATGGCTTCCATTATCATAAAAGAAGGACTAACATAAAATATTAGCTGTCATTACTATTTGAAGCTAAGCGTGAAGCAGCATTCCCGTAGATTCTTTCACCATATCTTTAAGTTCCATCGATTTCATGGCAGTAACAATGAAAAACAGAGTACATTTCTTACACTTCAAATAAACCCGGGTTTACCTTCCAGATTTGTAAGAAAACATGAATTCTTGGTCAATTTGCTAATAGAAGAGTTTATAAATGATTATATCAATAGAATACATGACTCTGAATCTACTGCTTCTGGAAAACAGACAGTTGGTTTAGACTAAACAATTTAGAATCAGTAACATAACCAGACCCTTGGGGGAGGGAGGGTGAGATTTACTGGGAAATAATGGTAAATTATAATTCAAAGATGCTCTGACAATTAATAATTTTTAGCCAAATTATGGATTATTGTAATTGCCTATCAATAAAAACAAATATCTGAGAGTGTATTGTGCAGAAAATATTACCAGGTGTTTACTCTCTCCAGCAAATGCTGCTTCTACATAAAGCCTTCCCACCGCATTTTCCATGTTCCCATTGACATAGTTTGCACAACGCCTCCAGGTCGCTGTTTCTGATGTTGTGCCGTAAAGGGCCTATGGGAGAGCAGAAGGAAATAGCATTTGATCAGGAGTAGATGGCTATAGCATGGTAAGAGCATAAACCTCACAGGACTCTATTCTTTATGTCTCCTAAGTTCTTGCATTATTCATTGCTTCTCCTCACAAGACACGTTGTCCTTGCCTATGATAAAATGTAATCCAATTGCATTGTTTATTTATATATGATCTGAAAATTAAGTATATTTTCAGTACCCATCCCAATAGAACTTCTGGCTATTACAAGTTAATACCCTTCTAAACAGCTTTAGAAAAAGAAACAACAAACCCCCCCCCCCCCTGCAAAACAAACAAAAATAACACTGTTACACATAAACATAAATGTGAAGTAATGTTCAATAAACGTTAACAGGGAAGAAATCTGGTATACAAGAAAACACATTCTTATTTTTTTAATGTTTTAGCTGAACTTCCAGTACTTAAAAGAACTACATGTGTATAAATTTAAGAACCAATAAGGGGACAAACTTAGGTAACGGGAATTTAGCAAAACACCGTTTTTACAGTCTTTAATTTTAAAAATGTGTCTACATTTTCTTTGAAAAGGTAAAATAAAAAAAAAACTTTAATCAGTCAGAGTTAATTCCTTTCCATGACATCAACCAATATGTTTGCTACAATTTCGCCTTTCTCAATCCCTCCTGCCATCTCCCCTCACAATAGGACTAAATGATGATTGTTTAGACGTAGGTACAGCCTAATAAAAGGCCTTAAGGTTGTCTCCAGGCAGGTTTGTTCTCAGTGGATTGTCCACGTCAATGCAGTGCATTTGTGTGTATGTCTAGTGTGCTCTGACCACCTGAAAAATCAAGTTAATTGACATAGCCCTGCGATTATTTTTACCACAACAAAAAAAACCAAGCCAGTATCTTTCATGAACTGCTCATAACCAAATGCATATCCTTCCAGGGCATTTCAACTTTGATGCCACAGCAGACAATCATAGGGTGGCAAAGCCCATGCAAACTGGCTTTTCTAGGCATCAGAGGCTAAACATGGGCAAAATAACCAACATTTGGCACTCTGTCTCTTGGCAAAGTTCATCACATTCTATTACAGCAGTGTACATGGCTCCTGCATAACCATGTATCTCTTTATGCTTAAGTCTTAAGATAAGAGAGATTGTTTCTTCACCTTGCGGAAAGCATTTCTGGACTCCTTGTAGGTTCTGCTGAGGCTGCTTACAAGATCCATTATGAATCGCCAGGACATTAAATTTTGAAGATCTCTGTATAAAAAAACCCACCACCCAGCAACAGAAAAGATGAGGCTGCAAAGCTTCTAAAGAGTGATATTAAATGTACACTCTGAGGACATGGGCACTCTGACATACCTACCTGGCAGAATATTTGGTAAGAATGAGCTTAAGTTTGGTTAAATATTCTGGAGCATAAACAATCACATCTTCCTCATTTGCAATATTAATATTCACAGTTGACATAATTTCATTTGTGAAATTTGACCAGCTGAATGGCTGGAAAAAAGCAGGCACAAGACATTCAGTAACTATGGATTTCTCTTGTTAATTCCAACACTCAGTTATGGTTACAGGGTGAGACATGGTTAGGATGTCGGTTGCATCACAATATAATTATCACAATCATCAGTTTGATACTTGTTTGGGATTTTCCCTTAACTGTTTCAATTGGTTTTCAATAAAAATTAGCTCTGCAGCATGATTGTTTTGATAGCAGAATTAAACCAACCACTAAAGAGCAGAGGCAAAGCCTCTAAGCACAGAGAATATAATACAACTAGAAATTAGGTTCAGTGTCATCTTCTTAGTCTAACCAATATATAAAAAGAAGAAAAATTTAGCTTTAAAAATAAAACTTCCTTGGTATATGCAAAAATTTAAATGGGTACAAGATGTTTATCTTTTAAAAGTGGATGCCAATAAAGAATTCATTCAACTACAGTCATACATCTCAGTGGAGACCCTGTTGTAAATTAAAACAAACTATAGTCAAAGCAGAGGTATAGCAATGGTATAGATATACCACAGATAGTCCAACAAAGCCAAACAAACCACATTTTAAACTACCAGTAGTGAGTCTATAGGTCTATAGTGGGTCTATATAAACTACCAGTATAGGGTCTATAGAAGTTTTTATACTTCAGAAACTAGGCTTGGAGTTGCCAAAAGATGGAATCTTGTCCATTACATTTTAAATGGGAATTGTGGTTATTCAATCACCATTGGATATAAGAAAAATAGCAGAAGTGGGGATCATGCAAATCTTGCTGAAATGCCACATCTCGGTGTTTGAGAATGTTCAAGATTCCCAATATTTGAGGCTCTATGACTATATATATACCGGGGTGCCAGTAAATGTACGCATTTTAAGAGATGTTATCTATGTATTACTTTTTGAAGTTGAATTGAATTATGATAGCAATGTGTACTATGACTTTCGCTCAAAAGATGGCATTAATCAAATGAATGCTAGCATCATTCATTGTATTACAATTTTAATATAGTTTTTCCTTTCTTAAAATGTGTATATTTTTTGTCACCCTCTGTATGTATGTGCATGTATATATATTAATGTATATATAAGTGTGTGTGTGTATATATATAATATATATGTATATCTCAATATGCTGATAACATATTAAGTATGAAATGCTGTGAACTTTTCTTGATTTCCTTTGGTGATTTGGACTATTCTTGCAAAACATATTTATTAAGCACATACTAATTAAAAAGTTATGTGAGAAATTCTTAACTCAATAGGCTATGCTTTTTAAAAGTTCTTGTTTATTATAATTAGTACCAAAGAGAATCTATCACTGAATGTAGCAGTTTGTAGATTTTCCCATGGATGTTGCTTTATTTCCCTATTGTGTGCATTAACTAATACACAAGTATACATGAACAGCCCCCAAAAGAGATAGATACCAGCTAATGAATTACAACTAAACAAAAAGATGTCTATTGCTATTTATAAATGGAATCTATGAGACAGATTTTTATTTCTTGTGTTCTATTTCTCCATTATTGCTCTGAACACCTCCATAGATGGCCTTGGTGAGAACATAGCAAGTTCTATGAGTAAATTATTATTTTTAAGAGTTGAAAAGAAATCTAGTGCTTTTATTAATTGACTGTCCAAGTATGATGATTACCAAATGGGTTTTTCAGAAGAATTTTCAGGTTTAATGTTTTCTAAACTCTTTTGATGGTTTCCACTATGACTGAACAGCTGCCTTGAAAGGACTTTTACCTTTGAAATTCCCTCTAACTAAATATAAATATAATAATTTCAAATAGTTTTTTCCACATCTTGTCATGAAGTCAAATGGTTGGAGTCATCTAAGTTCATTTGATGTTCAACTTATTTCAATAAATAAGAAACTGAATTTTAACAAACTGTATTTCAATGCTATAATTTTTAGAAATGGCACAAAGAGAATACATAAAACTTGCTACTTACCTTCCCATCGATCTCTAGTGAAAAGTTATTTTGGATCTGGGCTAATGTCATTTTGTTATAAAGAAGCATTGGATCATTTCGATCTTCAGGTTTAGCTGTAGCCTATGGATTTAATTTTTGATCATTATTTTAGAACTAGGAATTCTTTAGAAAACTATAACTATATTTGAAGGAAAAAGAAATAGGGGATAAGTACAATATAAGTTCTATTCTGTGCTTGTTTTGTAATTTATTTTGTTATATCAAAAAGGAAGGTGAAATTTAAGAGACTTTAACTATATTCAGTAACAATTATCAAGATCTGGCTACAGTGTTGAGCATAAAATTAAAAAAAAATTTTTATATTTGAGGACTGCAAAACCACATAAGCAATATTTGCAGGCCTGCTTCCTTCTATGGCTAATGGCTAGCTCTCAGCTGTGTCTGTTTCATATTACATTAACTTTTTTGAATATAGTCATCTCCAATTTATCAAATACTGTCTCCCATCCTCCACCACTATCATTCAGCATCCCAGTTAAAATTCAGACAGGAAAAAAAAAACAAAAAAACAAAACAAAAACCCACAATGGTCTCTGCAAGAATTTAAAGCAAGTACAACAGAAAAAATTCCTAGTACATAGAACTGTTAGATTGCATGTTATCTGAGGAGAGTGCTAGCACCTTCTATTTTTTTACTTTCTTCCTATCTTGCCTAATCAGTTTAGCGCCCTATACTTAAAAGCATCCAGTTTTATATTTTAACTGAATCAAAAAATAAAATTGCAATAACAACCCCCCAACTCATGGTTGAAATAAGTAAAAGCAATTTTAAGTGAGAAGAGACAAAAGGTAAAAGTTTAAACTGGGGCTTATTTCTCAGTGGCAATGGCTCCAACTTTCTCTTTAGGTCACTTACTTATTAATTTATTTAAAAAATTAGTTACTGAACATCTCCTGCATGCAATAATAAGCTGGAACTATTAGAGATACATAGGTGATTCAAAGATGGCTAAGGCACCACCCCAATCTCGAAGTCTAAGAGAAGAGAGAAAATATAGACATAAATAATCCTACAGTAAGCTACAACTACCACAGAAAAGAAGCATATCAAAGGAGAACATAGACTGGGAAGGTGCAAGTGGTAAAAGTCCAGGGCACTAAACCTCTCCTCTCATAATTCTATTTTCAACACAGAACCACATGTAACCCATCAAACTGCCATTCATCCAGCTACAGCTCCAAGCAAAGTCTCGTTCTGATTGGAGATTTTTGGTTTCATATAGCCCCAGGAAAGCAAAAATTGCCCTCAAAGATCTTCAGTCTTCATGATTCTGATGACAGTGGCAAGCAGACGGGGATTTAGCAGTGCAGGCTGCTGTTTGCAATGTCAGAGAGAGCTCGGTGGATCCTAGACTGAAACTGGCCATGGGTTCAATCAGTAACCTCGATGCTGCTTCAAGAGCGTTCTCTCACTTGAGACTGCACACCCAGTCAGTCAGGCAAGAAAGTGCCAACTCAGACTCCAAGGGTTCGCCAAGGACTAGAGGAAATCCATGAATACACCCCAGGGCTCTGCTGACCTTTAGTGTCTCCCCTGAGCTCAGCAGCCTGACAGTCTGAACCCAGTGATACCACATGGGGCCACGTTCAGGGGCTAATTCTTAGCAAAGGGATAGAGGCAACCTCTGGGATCACTATAAACTTAAAAAAAAAAATGTAAACAAGACTAAAACAGCTTTGCTGAACAGTTAGCAATCAAGTGTGTCCTGAGTCTCCAGGACATCTCAATGACAGTTTGACGGTAAATAGAAATTTTGATGTAACCCACTAATAATAGGTGATTAAGTGTACCTAGTTTAATATTTGTCAAACTTAGTATGTCTCCTGGATGTCAGAAACCCATTTTACTATAAGTTTGTACAGTTTGAAAAGTCCTCTTAAAGTCAATGATCCATTACTGAGCTATGCATTTTTATCTCTTGGCTAAGGAATTGCACCTTTTACCCTTAAAATATGATAGAGCAAAGAAAGAGAAAAAAAGTGGTTAACATTATTCAGTGTATCATAGATAATGCGTTTTACATTGGCAATCTCTTTTTCCAATTCCATAACTGTATTCATTTCTGAAGAAATCTGGTTTTCATCTATGGGCAGCCCTCTTTCCTGACGAATCAATTTGGCCACAGAAATCATAAAATCCACATATGCTGTACAAGCCTGCAAGAAATAAATAACAATAAATTACTGTCAAACCTAAATATTCATCACAGTGCTTTAACTTAAAAATTTATTTTCCACTCAATATTAATTTTTGGTACCAGGTAAAGCACAATAAAAATAGAAATCCTTTCCGAAATCTTAAAAGAAATGACCTGCACAGGTTCTTAAAAAGGCAACATGTCTTTGAATTAGAGGAAAACAATAAAGTATCACGTTGAAAGTACTAAGTAATTTATAACTGCTTGGTTTTGGAGATTTTGTCATTTTCAATTTTTAATCGAGTTATTTTAAAGTTATTATATTGCCTTAATAAGAATGCAGTTACAAACACCTGGTAAGCAAAAACTTAGTATTTTTTTCTTAAATAATAATTATATTCCTTTACCAAATTTCCTTTTCTCAGGTTTTCTCTGCTCATGTATGTATATTTTTTTCAACTATTCATGAAGATATGGACACAAACTCATATAATATTAACAGGATATCTTTATATCTGTCTCCCCTGGCAAAGCAATCTTTTTCAAATGAGACTGTGTTCTCATGAACTCCTCCAGCACAAATCTGTAGGTTTTAATTGATTCCATAGTTGGTTCCCATTACTATGAAATTTCTCTCTAAGACAGCATAGATTTTGATATCAGCTTTCTTCTAAGAATCCAAGTGCTTTCCATTTTATCTTCACATACATTTTAACTGGGTGAAGGTAAGCTATAAACTAGTTTATCGACCTTTTACAGAATATGTAAATGCCTTATTCAAGTTCAGAGTGGCATCAACTCCAGGAGATTGAATGCCACTTTCATAAATCTCAACTCACCGCCATTTAGCCATTATTACCTATCAACAATTCAAATAAATGATGATCCCACCTCATTAAAACTTACTCAAAACTCAAGTTCCCAGCACCAGATTGACAACAACCAACCATGATTAGGGAAGTCATGCCACACAATTTGGGACAGATGGGCACTTCTATACTTCTAAGACTTGTCATAAGGTAAATACAAAGGAAGGCTATACAATGCTTAACACTTTCACACTTTCAAAAGGGTTTTATATACCTGCTAATCTACTGTCAATGATAGGAGTCTATTTGCATTCACTGCCAGTGCATAGGCACATCTGAATTTGCAGTGACTCATTAAGAGGATCAAGCATAAACCATATAAGGAGATGAAAATATTTTATCACACAATAATCTCAGTAAAATGTACAGGCTGTTTATCAATTTGAAAGTTGAGAGGACACCTTTAAGTAAGATTTAGATACTAGCATTCCATGACTAGCATTTCTAAATGCTAAGAAAAGAGTTCCCTGGGGAGAGGGTTCTCTCTTTCATGGGTACCCTGTGAGGCTAGGGCTGTCTAGCTAGCATCTCTATCTATGGATCTGCTACTCAACAGAACAAACTATTTCTTAGCTGTGAGTCTGTATTAAAAAACCTAATCACTAAGGTAACAGGATAATAGAATATTTTTCTGTGTATTCTTGTCAACTCCATTCTTCTCAAAGGTAATCAGAATTCTCGTTTCACATTGTAGTAAACAAATGTGTCTGAGTTCCTACCTCATGGGAGCAACTATTGTAAAATATAAGCATGCAGTGTTTTGAATTAACTATATTTCAAATTATATAAATTCATCTGCGTTCAGCAGGGAATTAGTACTGACTATGAAGGAAATGGTAATTTGAATTTTTCAATATCAACCTACTGAGGTGGTTTTTTTGTTTTGTTTTGTTTTTTACTCTATGGGATGCTATTTTGTTAATCAGGTAAGGAAACAATAAGGAGAATGCTCTCTTGCACTTTGTTGACTCTGCAAACTGGTTCTACTCCAGTATCTTCATTCTTACGGATGTATCTAAAGACTGTGGAACTTGGCACAAGGCAAGTATGAATGATGCTTCTGTCCTGCTGAGCTAAGTTTCCCAGAAAATTGGAAGCACTAGATTCTGGGATGCTTACATATTTAATACAGCTCTGTGGAGCACACTACTTCCTTTAATGAGATCTGGCAACTATTCCAATGTGACTGATTAAAACATGCATCTTGTACCTTGACTACCTTTTCCAGCTTCCAAATTTATATAGTAGCTGTCAGAACTCAGGCTTACTAGCTGCTGTTGAATTCTTTCTACAAGAACATAATTCTACCTTAAGGTTTTAATTTTCTTCCTGGAGATACATCTAGCTATGTAAAATGCCAAATGGTAGTAACTGCCATGATTTGAGGAAAAGGTAATTAACACATATTTTAACATTTAAATAGTACACTGGCCAGAATATTTTTAAAATTGAAATTCAATTTCTTTGTTGTCACTAAGGCCAAAATTAGTTATTAGAAGAGCCAGAGTCAGCTATCTTCTTTGAGTCATAAGGCAGCCTAGCTGCAGCCTTGATGTAGTGAATTTTTTATGTGAAAAAACAAAACAAACAAACAAAAAACTTAAATATTTTTGTAACCCTTCCTTTAAAAATAAAACATTATACTATAATACTATGCTTATAATAGCAGGTCTAAAGATGATAATTGGTTTTAAATGGTTGGGTGAAATCCATAATAGCAGTTTAGTGAGTTTTTAAATTACATAGTATCAATGAGATGATATTTATCAATACCCAACACCATGCATTGTTACTCTAATTAGAACTCTCTCCATTTTGCAGGCCCAACCAATGGTATTTATACATTAGCTCTGTTCAGAAGATGGGGTCCTCCCGCTTGGGAAAAAGCTGATATTTTTTGGAGTTGCCATAGCGAAAGAGAGCAATGCCATTAACTATTGTCCTTCAAACTTCAGTATCTTTATTAATGATCCAGCAAAAAACGGATAGCTCCACAATCATATTGGCTGATATTTGGTACCTATGTGTGCCAAGAACTTGTCAATCAGGAGTTTCACTTCCAAAGATTCTATTCCAGGTCACTCAGCTCTTACCAATTTTCTGCCTTCTTCTCTTTAGGAAGAAAACGGATATAATATGAAGCACGAAGTGACTGAGAAGGCCCAGAACTATACTACTCCTAGCCACTGATGCTGGGGGATACTTAATAGTGTTACACAGAGTTTTCTGAAGGAACATGCAGAAGACATAAGCAAGGAAGATATGTTTCCTATTGAAAAGGCTTGGAATTCTTCCCACTTTCAGCAAGCAGCATGTCAGGGAGCATGCAGCTAGCTGCCAGCACAGGGAGACTTGAGCAGGAGAAACACAAAACAAGAGGATTCACTGTGGACCAGCATGGAGACTGTTTGGAGCTTTCATCAGGTTATTAATGAGGAGAAACTGCAGACTCATGAAAAGTTGCTGTGGAACTACTAAGTCTTGCCGCATACGTTTGGGAAGCTGCATGTAGTCCTTTTTACAAACTTGGTTCAGTCAATCTCAAACAATTTTCTTGTCATAGCCTCTAAGTTCAAGTTAAAAAGCTCCTTTATGTTTTGTTAAATACAGATACCTGGCCTAGGTGAGACTTCCTGACTTTTAGTGACCTGGTGTCCAGAAAGGACAAAATGAGATCAGCAGTTTCCCATGCAGGATCTGTTTTTATCAAGTCAAGCAACGAGCAGCAGTCAAAGTGATCTTTTTAAAAACCAAATCAAATTATATCTAAATTATCCACCTACCCTAGTAATTCACTTGGTATCATATCACCTTGTTTTAGTTGCTTTATAACATTACCTCCGTTTATCTTATTTCCTTATTTACTTGTTTCTTTGCTATCATGCTCCTCCCATTAGAACATGATTTCCATGCGGAAAAGGACCTTTTCTGCCTTGTTTCATCGGTATCTGTGCTGCATAGAAAAGTATCTGTCACACAGTAGAAGCACAATAAATATGTGTTGAATGAAAAAAAAAAAGAAATGAAACTTTAAGTACACTAAGTAAGTTTCACTCATTTCCTATGTCATAAGACTTCTATTTTCAGCCCAAGTCCAGAGTAGTTTCTCTCTGCTTGTATTCTGGGTAAGCGGGCAAACAAACTCCTCTCCAGGTTTCAGTCAGTTCCAGCCTGTACCTGCTCAACTACAGGCCTGCAAATCTCAGCTGTGCTCTCTCCTGAGCAGGCACTGCGTAGAGAATTTCCCTGGTCTGTGTCTTCTCTTATTCAGACACACACACCCCTGGGTCGTCTCTTTCTGGCTTCTCACCATCCTGGCCATGTTCCACGTCCTCTATCCTCATCCCTAAAACGTCTTCATTTTTTATGAACCCCCAGTTTTTCTAAGAGCGCTAAATGTCTTCATGACTCTGGCATCCTTCTCCCTTGCCAGGCTCCACAGCCTTACATACCAGAGCTTCTATTTTCCAACCCCTGTCTCACCTCCTCACGCTCTCATCTGCTAGACTGGTGGTTTACTCATGTTTCTCTTTAGCCCGGAAAATGATCTGTTCAAATAAATCATTTGTTGGTGTATAAACAAGTAAAATCAATCGTGGTGGACTTTCCTGAAGTATGTATACAGGACGGTGTGGCTATACAGAGCCCTGTCATTTGCACAAAGTGGTCCTTGGGTTGGGAACCACTACCCTCGCCCTACTCTACCTCCGCAGACACAGAGCATCAATGTATCTAAAACCCAATTATACTCAAACATTTTGAGTTCCTGGCCTACAGATTTCTTTGTAAAGGAGGACAAGATAACAGCACTGATGAGCTAAAGAAGTGGAGGAAGGGAAGCTCTGAGGCCAATTCCAATTCATCCCCAATACCAAGTTCAGAGACTCTTCCAAAGGTGGGTGATTTTTCAAGAAAATTATGGTCCTCATTCCTTGCAGTGAGTCAGTTTACAAGTATTTTCTCACATGAAGTAGTTAATTGGTTCCATTTTAAACTTCTGTGAATAGGATGATTATTTTTTATGGGCCATGTGTTTCTTTCATATTATTTTCCTAGCATAAGAATGTATACCCTTATAAAGGGTAGAATTGTTTTAAATATCACTATTTCTGCCCTTTAAGGTAGCAGAGTGTCATTAAGTCACCACTTC